TATCTGTGGGTACAAGACAAGGCTTTTGCTAACCCTTGTCCTTTTGCTGGCCAACGACAGCCTGCGATATGCGAAGGATCTCCTGTCGCAGTATGCCCAGATTAACACAGACATGCTGGTTGAGCTTTCCGAGTGAATCGATTTTTATTTTCAGGTCGCCCAGCCGCGCTCGATCGAGCTCGCGCAGCGGTCTGCTGCGTTTCCGCGGTCCGCCATCATCGACGGCCGAAGCATTGGAGGTGCTTCCATCTCCTCCTTGCATAGCCACGTCGTCGTCCTCGTTAGCGGCTGCCAGATGCCTTTTGGTCCCAGCGTACGACGACGCAACCACTGCGGTGCTCGAAAGGCTAACACCGCTGTCAGCCGTAACCAGCGGAGTGGCCGTGCCAGTGGTCGTTGGTACCGAGACTTCGCTGTTGTTTCTCAGGTCCACCATCGCGCGGCGCTTCTCGCCGTCCAGCTCCGTTTCCAGCTGCGAGATCTGCGTCATCAGTATCGTGCAGCTCTGGGTCAGCTCTTGTTCTCTGTTCTTGCGACGCTCACGAAGGCGTGCCGCGCTTTGCGCGTTGCGTTTGCGTCGCTTTATCAGCGCATCGTCAACCTCCCCATCGTCAGCATCGTCATCATCATTATCCTCGCCACCACTACTGTCGCTGTTATTGTCGGCGCCACTTTGGCTGTTTGTTTGTGGTGCCGCCACCGACTTCGTGGTGCTCAAAGACGGCAGTTGTGTTTGCAGTGGCGCTTCCGAGCCCTCCTCTCTGGGCGTCGGCGCCGCATCAGGAAGGTCATGCTGTTGTGGCGGCAGTGCGGCGGGCGGGTTCGCCTGGAGTTCGATGGACATGTGCTCTATTGCACTGCCGATCCGAGTAGTCGGGCTGATCACGGACGAGCTGCCTACGCGACTCATCCCCGGATGCTGGTGCTGATGAAAGTGCGAGTCGTACGGCGGCGAGCGTCCATGATGGCCAGCGCTCGTGGGTAAGGGTGGCTGTGCCGCCGGGTATGCATTATCACGTAATGGAGCTTGGCTTTGTCTGGTTGGCGCGCTGCTGCTGCTGCTGCTTCTGTATGCAGGAAGCGGATGTGCATAGCGGGAGGCGGCACTGTGCGGCATTGTTTGCTGGTGTTGATGGCTTTGGTTTGGATGGCTTTGGTTTGGATGGCGGTACCCCTGCTGATAATAGGAATGGGGAGTCGCGGGTGCCGTGGTAGACAGGCCGTGGGAGGAAGGCGTAGGTGGCAGCGGTGGCGGATGCGGCGGACGATACACTTGACTGGAAGAAGGATGACTGTGGTGCGGGTGCTGTCCGGGAGAATAGCCGGGATAGCGCGGGTAGGATGACAGCGACGAGGAGGGAGGCGAATAGACCCCAGCGTAGCGTTCTGCGCCTGTGTACGACGGAGTATGATGGCTGCCATACGGCGTAGGGGGATGGTGTTGTTTTGCGCCATCAAACGAATGGCGGTGTGGTGGCGCAGAGGGCGGTGGACGCTCGCTGCTGTATTTGGGAGACCGAACATGTTGCTGTCGGGGATACTGGCTAGCTGGCGGCGGGCCGTACTCGTCCTGAATCTGTGACTGGGTGTGCGGGCTTTGCTGATGGGGTACAGACGAATAGTGGTATTGTGTGTCTCCCGAGGGTGACGCCTGCTGACGCTGCTGTGGAGTATAGTATATCGAAGGATCGTGGCTCACGTGCTGCGGGGCCATGTACTGCTGCTGCTGAGTTTGCTGCTGCTGCTGAGTCTGCTGAGTCTGCTGCTGCTGTGGGTGTTGTTCCTGTTGTCCAGAAGAACGCGTAGGATTGCCGTCAGTCAGCGACCTTATACTGGGAAGATTGTAGTTGCCTCTCTGTCTGCCAGCATTGTCATCCATTCTCCAACAGCCAAAAATCGAGTCAGGAACAGGGGGGGAGGGGAGAACCAAACTGAGCCCAATTATTATCTCTTGAAACGCAACTGCAAACCCTAAAGTTTTTTTTTCTCGAAAAGAATAAAGACACTTTTTTTTCCTTTTTCTCATTAGCCTGAAAAGGGAATAAGAACCAAAGATAACAATCAATTAAGCGAAGAAAAAATTGCTACTATACCTTTTAACTGGGGGGTTCCGCCCGAAACTCGAAAAGAGCGTTTATAAAACGAGAAATAGTAGAATCAAGAAGGAAAGTAAAGAAAAACAGACTCGAAGACCTTTTTCTCGCTATTTCATGAAACACTGCCAGACTCACAGGAGAAAAAAAAAAAAACAAAAAAGCAAAACGAGGGAGAAAAGATGAGCAAGGAACAAAGGAAGGCTCTGAAGCAAACGCCGAGTCATCATTCATCACTGCTAAACTCGTCTACCCACTCACCCATTCATTTAATCGCCATTGGCTGAGACGGGTTGTAGGCTTTGATGACACAGGCAATTATTCACCACTTTATTCGACGCACTCTGAATGACGCGTTTCAACCGCATACACCGCGCGCCCCTCCCCGTTCCGTGAATAGCATTTTCCCTTCCTTTTCCACTTGTCTGGTTGATTGAAAAATAACAATCCTTTTTATTCTTCATCCAGAAGCAAAGAATGTGGTGTCAGAAGAAGCTGGCTTTGCTTATGATTACACACTTCCTGCTTGCACTCTTGATTTTCAGTATGCCGGATCATGCAACGTTCATGCACAATCATCGTCCCAATTCCGGTCACACCCCAAACTAGAAAAAAAAGAGGCAAAAGAGTGCTTCCTGCGAGGTTCGAACTCGCGACCTTAAGATTATGAGACTTACGCGCTGCCAACTGCGCCAAAGAAGCAAGCGAATTAAGATGATTCCATTATAGTGTTTTTATTTTCGTGCAAATACATAATTAGGTCTTCCAGTGGAAAAAAAATCGCGCCAAAAAAATTTTGCGTCTTGCTCGAGAGTTGCATGGTGGATCGATTCGTTGGTCCGACGTATGGCGTTGGAGCGTGGTGCTTTCCAGCACAGGTCTCGGGTTCGAGATCTACTCTAGGCACCGTTGGGAAGTGATGACGACTTGGCTCTGATCGAAGAGCATCGTGCCAGCCAGCCTAATGGAGGCAAGCGGCGCAGGTTCGGTACCTGCCTTCCCATCCTCGGAAAAATTCCTCTGGGCTTTTTCTTCTCCGCCATTCTGGCAACCCATCCTCTTTTTCAGACCATCAGCCCTTTGCGGCACCCCCTTGATCCCGACGACGCGATGCTTCAATATAATTCCATATATTTTAAGTTTGTTCTGATGATCATAAATACATTTTCTGCGCTAAGTCACTGCGCCATAAGAAAAAAAAAAAAATTTGCGTCTTGCTCGCGTCTATGAACATTCTTCTCACACGTAAAGGAGGGGGTTGTAACAGATCAACATTTCACAGGTGTAGTCTGTTGCTGGGACCGTGACGAGTGCATAGTCTAGCTGGTGTGCGTGGCATTCCGCCGATTTCAACGTATATTTAATAAGAACAACAACAAACAACAGCTAATAAACTTGACTTGGAAAGCAAGAAACAAAAACGATTCAGATGGTCGTGTGGCCGAAAAGATAGGATACCGATTCGCCGTTATGTGTGCGGCGGATGGCTTCTGCCAGGACGGCGCTAACGTCAATCGTATCGAGTTTAGGGCACACCTTCTTCTTCTCTGCGTGCGGGATGGTGTTGGTGACGACGACACGGGTAAGCATGCTATTGTTGATGACATCAAGGGCCTTTCCCGAAAGAACGCCATGGATGACGATGGCGTAGACGGCGGACGCGCCATTGTCGACCAGGGTTTTGGCAGCAAGCCCCAGGGTGCCGCACGTATCGGCCATATCGTCGACCAAGATGGCCACCTTGTCCCTGACGTCGCCAACAAGCACCATGCGGGACACCTCGTTTGCCTTCTTGCGCTCCTTGTGGATCAGCGCAAAGTCGAGGTCCAGGTGGTCGGCGATCGACGTGGCGCGCTTGGCACCGCCGGCGTCGGGCGACACAATAATGGCGTTCTTGTGGTCGGGGATGTTCTCGCGGATGTACCGCAGCACCGAGGGCTCGCCGTACAGGTTGTCGACGGGGCAGTCGAAAAAGCCCTGGATCTGGCTGGCATGGAGGTCCATGGTGATTACGTGGTCGGCTCCAGCGACCGTCAGCATGTTGGCAACCAGCTTGGCAGAGATCGGCGCCCGCGACTTGTCCTTCTTGTCCTGGCGCGCATACGGGAAGCACGGGAGTACGGCGGTGACGCGGCGCGCAGACGCTGTTTTGCATGCGTTGATCATGATCAGAAGCTCCATCAGGTGGTCGTTGATCTCGCCGCATCCGGATTGGACAATGTAGACGTCCTCGTCGCGCACAGACTCGCCGATGGTGACTGCGGTTTCCTGGTTCGAGTACTTTGCGACCGTAACGTTGGCCAGATCGCTGCCCAGACGCCTAAGAAAACCAGTTTTTGATATACGGGGAGGTTTTCGTCAGTAAAAAAAATGAAAACAGAAGGGGCCTTTTGGTTGGGTCGGGAAAGAAAATAAATGTGACAGCAGACGAATAAAGAAAGGCGTAAAACTTACTTTGCAATAAGCTTGGCAAGAGCAGGGTGCGAATTACCAGCGAGAATCCGAATAGAGTTGCTCGACATTGTTTGGTGGCGATAACGAGAATAAAGAAACAGATAAAAAGAAACCTTCTATGGGGGGCTATATATACAGCGGCTAGTTCACTAAGAGTACCGAATTATAAAGAAACAAGAAAAAGGGAAATACACTAAATTCACTTTTTTTTTAGATAAAAGATAACGATTAAACAAAGAGGTGCTCAACATCCTCAAGAAGAAAAGAGAAAAGCACACTTGCTCTCAGTGGTATAAAGTCCCGTTCCTTTCGTTTTCGGCTCGGCGCTTTCCCCAAAAAAAAAAATTCGACAAGAACAAACCCGTCAGCCCGGGAAAAAAAAGAATTTTTTTTGTGACAGCTGATTTTGACTGATCCAACTGAAAGAAGCCAGGTGGCACGTGCTTGGATCTGTGGCGGCGTGTCTTAAAGCGCCTTTTAAGGCTAAAACAACAGAGCACATGTCCCTTAAATCTCATGAACAAGTATCGTAAGCGCCAAAGCCAGATGCATCAGATTCAAAATCTCAGAGTTAGGCCACTTTGGGCATAATTGCCCTTTGTCATGTCAACAAGAAAAAATCATAAAGCTGCAGTATTTGCAATCACTCGGAAAAGGCGAAAAGTAACGGAAATATTTCTGTGCAGCTCTAAAAGCACTAGAAAAGGATTGCCTCATATTCTAAATGATGTCATCTGGAATTTTCCACAACAAAAAAGAAAAGCAAGCTGCTGCTTGGGTTCACCGCTGCCAGAAAGAGAAAATGTGTGACGGTCCGTGGTGTTATGTGACAATGGTCCATTTTACTGCCCCCGCCGCCACGCTTCCAGAAAAGCCCCCCCATTTTGCAACGCACATTATTCTAGCAGGAATATTCGTTTCTAGAAAAATGCTGCTCACGGAACGTAAACAAAAGACTTATATATAGAAAATGGAATCCCAGCCCCCGCCCGCTCCTTATGAGAAATGTCTCCATCCTTCTTTTCTTCTAACACGTAGACTCTATCCATCCGCTATTTCTTCTATCACGTAGAATCCCTCCATCCATTGCCTTTCATTTTAACGTATATCAAAACCCTACCACCCACTTCATCTTAAAACGCCAGCTATCAGGGTGGGGAAATAAAAGAAAAAAGTCATGAAGGCGTCAGTACTTGCACTCGGAGGTCTTCTGAGCTTGACAACAACGGCCCTGGCGGCCCTGGACCCGATAGTAATCAAGGGCAGCAAGTTCTTCAACTCCAAGAGCGGGGAGCAGTTTTACTTCAAGGGCGTCGCGTACCAGCCGCGCACAGGGCTGACGTCGGCGAACCCGGATCCGTTGGCGGACGTCGAGGGATGCAAGCGCGACGTGGCGGTGTTCAAGGACCTTGGAATCAACTCGATCCGCGTGTACGAGGTGGACTACACCAACGACCACGACGAGTGCATGAAGATGCTCGAGGACGCCGGCGTCTACCTGTTGCTGGATATGCCGTCGCCCAAGTACTCGATCAACCGCGCGGACCCGTACTGGGACCACGATATGATGAGCCACTGGACGGCCAAGGTCGATGCGTTTGCCAAGTACGGGACCCAGGTGGCTGCGTGGATCGCAGGCAACGAGGTAGCCAACGATGTCGACTCGACACCATCGGCCGCCTTTGTCAAGGCCGCCATCCGCGACATGAAAGCGTACCTCCGCTCAAAGGATCTGGAGACGCCCGTCGGGTACGCCGACAACGACGATATGAAGATCCGCATGAACCTCATCAACTACTTCAACTGCGGCGACAAAGCAACGCGCGCAGATTTTTACGGCATCAACATCTACCGCTGGTGCGGCGACCAAACGGACTTCCAGACGTCCGGGTACGCCGACGTCACCAAGAACATGACCGGCTACTCGATCCCGTCGCTGCTGACCGAGTTTGGATGCAACATCAACCGCCCGCGCACATTCCCCGAGGTAAAGTCCCTGTACGGGTCCGACATGAGCGGCACGTTCTCCGGCGGCATCATGTACGAGTACTCCGAGGAGGACAACGAATTTGGCATTGTTAAGGCCACGTACGGCGACTCCTCGTTCGAAAAGACCGAGGACTACGACAACTTCAAAAAGGCCATGGCCGCCGCCAAGCCCCAGGGCGTCAAGATGTCAAGCTACTCGCCAAAGGATAAGGATAGCACGTGTCCGTCGGTAAGCAGCGACTGGAAGGTCAGCGCCGACGCGCTGCCTCCGACGCCGTCGCAGGAGCGCTGCCAGTGCATGCTGGACTCGCTGGGCTGCACGTTCAAGAACAT